AGAGGCTTGGTAGGGGCAGAATCACAGGGGATTCTCAGGAAGGAAGGAGGAGGTTGTCACACCCATGCAACACCCGGAGCCCAAACCCGGCTCCCTCCGTGTTGATTGAAAGCAGCCGCATCCGAAGACAAACCTCAGCCGTCTCCCTTCACAGGAGAGGCTTGGTAGGGGCAGAATTACAGGGGGTTCTCAGGAAGACAGGAGGAGGTTGTCACACCCATGCAACACCCGGAACCCAAACCCGGCTCCCTCCGTGTTGATTGAAAGCAGCCGCATCCGAAGACAAACCTCATCCGTCTCCCTCACAGGAGAGGCTTGGTAGGGGCAGAATCACAGGGGATTCTCAGGAAGGAAGGGGGAGGTTGTCACACCCATGCAACACCCGGAACCCAAACCCGGCTCCCTCCGTGTTGATTGAAAGCAGCCGCATCCAAAGATAAACCTCATCCGTCTCCCTCACAGGAGAGGCTTGGTAGGGGCAGAATCACAGGGGATTCTCAAGAAGGCAGGGGGAGATTTTCACGCCCACCCACACTTACCGCAGCCATCCTCGTCAGAAGCGTCTCCGCAATCGGGATGTCCATTGCAACGCAATGCGCGGGGAACACATTCACCGCTGTCGCAGGCAAACTCTTGCTGGGCGCACTCAGGGGGCTCGGGCTCCTCTGCGGGGCGGAGAGAAGCATAGCTGAGAAACACACTCTCGCGGCGAAGGGGACCAGGAGCCCAAAGCCGCCCCCGCAGCTTCAAATGCTCACCACAGTCCAGCTCGTCCGACATGTCGCGGCAATCCGGCCGCCGGTCGCAGAAGAATTCGCGGGTGATGCACTCTCCACTCAGGCAAGAGAACTCGTCCGCCGTGCAGGGCCGGATCTGTGGGGAGACTGGAGGAGAGGTTGGGGTTTAGGAGGTGGCTGTGACCTGGCCGGGAGATAGGGAGATGGAAAGACCCAGAGGCCAGAATGCCTTTCCTGCTTCTTTGCCTTGGAAGCACAGCCTTTCCTCCCTCACTGAACTAAAACGCAGTTATGTGGGCAGGACTTTGGGAGGCAATCCGACATCTGACACCCCCAACAATCAGGTTTTGGGTTCCAGCTTGCCTTGGGGCATCTGCACCCTGCCACGACCCTTGGAATGCAAACCTTTTAAAGCTCTGCTGCCAGAGTAGGACTACACCCTCCGAACAAGAGCCCATGTGCCACTCCCGCTACCTTGTGATTGCACCCAGGCCCTTCAGCTAACACCACCAGCCTCCCACCAGGCTGCCAACCCCTCGCCTTGCTCCTCGGGGGCAGCGCACGCAAACCTCACAGCACAGCGCACAGTCTAGAAGCAATAAGCGATTTCAGCAAGGTGTACTTTTCAGGTAAATCTTCTCGCTTCCCACTTTGGCTCAGCAACACACAACGATGATGCGGCAGCAAGACCAGGAACTGGGGCAGTGGTGTGTTGAGGAGGGGGTGGGGGGAAGGCAGGCAGTGCTTTACTGGACTCCTGGGGTGTGCTAGAGTTACATAGCTGTGCGACGTCACCCGTCTTAGAAGGAGCCCCCTGCTTGGAAGCTTCATCCAGAGGGGCTGGGAATGGCAAGCCGTCACATCAAAGGCCAAGATCTACGTGCTACACACTCACATCCACAAGGAGCACAAGGAGAGGCGTGCAAGGAGGCCTGTAAATGCCCTCGGCAGGGAGGGAGGGAGGGAGGGAAGGCTGGGTATGCAGGAGGAAGTGGGTGGACGGACTCCCGGTTCCAGACAGAATCTGGGCCAAGAAGGACAAAAGACCAGCCTCCTCCTCCTCCTCCTCCTCCTCCTCCCCCTCCTCCATCTATGGGGCCTAGCGCCCTGCAGCTGCTGAAACCGGAGCACCCTCGGGAGACAAATGTCTTCCCTGCTAAGACTCGCTTCCGGCCAAGATGCCAGGGAGGCCGAGGGCGTGCGGAGAGAGAAAAAGGGGAACGGCTGTCTCCAGGCAGCCTCAGCAGCCAGATTGGTGGGCTGCGCACAGGCCCCCTTGCACCTCTCTGGCCCCGGACTCACCTGGCGGCGCCTCGGAGATGGGGGGAGGCGGGGTTTGGGCTGGAAGCAAACTCAAAGTTAGTGGCATGGAGGGAGGGGGGGGAGGACGGGACGGTCCCTCCCTCCCAATCTCCCACCCGCCCACAGCCCCGCCTGCTTTTGCACACACACACCCTCCCCCCCTCTGGTTAAGAGTCGGCGGGGTGGCTTCACCTGCTCCCAGGCGTCGGAACTGGAATCCCTTGCGGGAGGTGCGGTAAGAGGCGATGGACCCGCTGGCCACCACGGAGAAAAGCACCTCGCGGATCTGCTCATCGTCGGTGTTCTTCTCGGAGCCCACGTCCAGCTCCACGAAGCTATAGCCATCGATCTCCCTGCGGGGCAGGACGGGAAAGCGACGGGTAAAATTTTCACAGTAGTCGCCCTCCCCACCCCCCAAAAAAAACAACTACTCCCACCTCTGCTGCTTTGCCAAGCGTGTGTGATTTCCGCCTGGAGGGCGCGGGTTCGAACTCTGCCCCAAAGCAGCCCGGATACTCACTTGATAAAAACCACGCTGACCGACTGATCCCCGGGGATCTTGACGTATTCAGATTCCAGCTTAAGAGAGGGGGGAGGGAAAAAAAATCCCAATTTCAGAGACTTTGGGGGCAGCACTGTAACCCAGGGGTCTACGACCTCGGCCCCTTTAAGACTTGTGGACTTCAACTCCCAGCATTCCTCAGCCAGCAAAGTTGGCTAAGGAACTCTGGGAGTTGAAGTCCACAAGTCTTAAAGGGGCCAAGGTTGGAGACCCCTGCTCTAACCCACCCACCCCGGTCAGGTTCTGGACTGTGGTTCGGTCTTAGGATCTCTGCTTGGGCCGAGGAAGAAGGAGGAGGAGGAAGATGGGATCTCTCCCAGCGATCCGTGGGGATTTCACGGACAGGGAGTCTAGCTCCGAGTAAATTTTAAATCTGATGTGTTTTCCGAACTCCGGGCTCTGCTAGATCTCGGAATTGGCTGCGGGGAATCTGAGCCGGGCCCCCTCTCTCAGCCTGGCCTACCTCACAAGGTTGCTGTGAGGGATAATAGGCAGGAGGGAGGGAGGAAGAGCCAGGCCTGCTGCCTTCTGCTGCCGGGGGATAGAAGGGACCAGGGGCGGCTTTGACTGAAGAAATTCAGGGCACTTGCTCCAGAGAGGGAGTTGAGGACAGGGGAAGGGGAAGGCTCACCGTATCCACGACCGCTTCGGACACCTCCTGGAAGGCCTCCGAGTTGACATCTTCCAAGCGCGGGCTGTACTCGATGGAATGGGTGAAGTTCACCAGTGCCCGGAAGTAGACTGAGGAGAAAAGGGGACGGGTGAGGAAGGCCTGGCCACACCCTCCTCAGGAGTGCCAAGTGTGCAACACACACAAACACACACACACACACACACCTCCCTTTGCAAGGAAGGGATGAAACCGTGCTGAGCAAGCCCCCTTCGCACAACCCTCTTTGCTAACTTCCTGCCTGCGTGGCCGGAGGAGGCCCTGCCCCGAAGCCCATGATGGTGCCGAGCAGATATTTGGCCAGGATTAAGGGGGCCTGGTTGCTCCCCGAGAGGGAAAAGTCTGGAAAACACCCAGCATCGCCGGGCCGCCTGTCCCTCAGACCCTCTCCTCCTCCTGAGGCAGCTGCGGGGACACGCAAGCCAGGAACGGAAGGGGCTGAGGTCTTCCACCCCCGGTTTTCACAAGGGCAGCTGCCCGAGAGGCCCCGATTCCAGGCCCAGCTGGACGGCCCCGTTTGGCCAAGGCCGGACTCAGCTGCAGGGATGGAATGAGAGGCCGGCACGCCATCAGGCGCTGGCGGCCTTGCCTTTGCCCCAGGGGAGCAAACACAGCCGCTGGGCTTCCCATGAACAAAATAATCTGGGGGTCGCCTTTGGTCAGGCCCCGATCTCACCCCCTTTCCAGAGGGAGAGGAGAGAGGCCAGCCATGGAAGAAGAGCCCTGGGGGAGAGGTGTCAAAGGACAACCTGTCTGGCCTCCGTGCCCAGATCCTGGACGGGGAAGGAGGGCATTGTGGAGACACGGGGGCCGGCCTCCCTCAAGCCTGGACAGCCACCGTTCCTGGTTCACGCCGGGTGAAAAATACCACGGAGGGAGGGAGAGAGAGAGAGAGAGAGAGACCCAGGCGAATCTTTGCCCTCCCTCCCACCCGCACATTCTTACATTCCAGGGTGCCCACCCTTCTCCGTAGCACAAGGGGAGTGGGGGCTGTTGTTTCATCCCTTACTTATAATGGTCCCATTCAGAGCTCGGCTGCCTAAGGTGCCCCCGTGACTTGGCACAGCCGCTCCTCCAGGGCCCCACCCGCCTGAGGAGTCACCCTGAAGGAATGTTGCCTTGCCCCTGCATTTGAAGGCATGGGGGGGGGTGGAATGG